AGATGTAAGCCACTGATAGAGATTAGACCCAAAGCAACTAAGAAACACGCAATCCGAGAGCCAGCAGCTGCTATTGCGCCGCAGACACCACAGAAGATGATGGACGCTGCACAGAGGGAACGTGAGGCAATGGCACAGAGACGGCTTGCAGCTCTTGTTATTGCACAGCAGCAGCCAAGAGACTGATCAGGACTAAGTAGCCAGTCAAACCTGAAAATGCTATCATAGTATCTAAGACTTTCATGCTATCATAGTATCTAAGACCTCTTTCCTTTAACAACATGCAATTCAATTTTAGCGTGCAATGCATCTTCACAATTCTCTGAAAGGCCAAATTGAAATGGAGATAACAACATATATAGCAACAATCAATCAAGAACAATCAACACCAAGCAATCTATCAATCAAAATTTCAAAATTTTGGGGAAAAATTCGTGGGTAGGGCACCTACCCAAAAATAGAGCAAAATGCACCTCCAAATCAAGAAATTGAAAATAGAAAAGAGTTTTGAACTTGTAGCTTTAGGGATTGATTAGAGTGAAGCAAGTGGGGCAATCGGACTTTGGGTGTCTAGGGCGAGAGAGTTGCGAGAGAGAGTGTTGGAAAAATTTGAGAAGAAAAGGTTGTTCATGTTTTTTAATAACCTGTACTGTGTCGTCAAAAATTTCTAGTAGCCTTTTTTTGGAAATTGGATGAGCTCGACGCGTAAAAAAATTTCAGTAGGTTTTCTCTCGAATTGGCCTGGCTCGACGCGTCGAGTCTAGTCGAAAAATTCCACAGGGCTCATAGCCTCATATACACTAGAAAGATGATCAAAAAGAACCTAAGTTGGAGGGAAAAAGGTTGGGAATTTGAAAATCTGTTGCAAACTTTATTGGAAGGGCACATGTTAAAGTGATTGTGAGTAGTTATTTTGAAAACTAAACGAATAACTACACAATGAGTATTATAAGCTTTAAAAAGTTTGTCCTCTAAATAAATTGTAAATAAAGCGTTTAAAAAAAATACCTATGTATTTTTCCTAAACCACATATCCCCATTGACAACATTAGAACCCGCAATGAGAAAGTCAAATTCTGAAGCAGCAGGCGAACTAATGGTCTTGCCATCCGAATCCTCAAAAAGAGAATAGAAATCCATGGAAAATGTGTCGCTTTGCGGTGTTAGATGAAGCGCAATAACTCCAATTAACAGAGCGGCTCTAAAACGAGTACCAGGAATAGCACTGCAAGCATTAAACAGAAATTTCATCACAACTGTAGCATTTGGGGGTGTTAATCAAGTTGAATTGGAAACTGGACACTTCATTTGACTCTTTGGGGGAATGATAACCAACTAAATATGCTATACGTATATCCGAGATCTATTGTGTTTCTGCAACGATTAGTGGAAGATGTTACCTGAGCAGCAATGGCGAAGCGTCGAAGTAGAGCAAGTGGAGGCGGACGGCGGAGGCAAAGCAAGCTGCAGCCTGCACGCGGATGTGGCGGAGCAAGGGTTATCAGTTATCACAGTGAAGAGCAACGCGTAGCGGCGGAGCACGGGAGCAAAAAGCCAGAAGCTAAGGTGCGTCGATTTAAAGTTTTAGGTGCAATTATTTTTACTTCTTAAGGTGCGTGGTTTTTGTGCTTAAGGTGCGTCAGTTGTTGAAATTTAAGGTCGTCGGTCTAAAGCTTTAGGTGCGTGATTTTACTTCTTTAGGTGCATGATTTTTCCTTCTTAAGGTGCGTCAGTTGTTGAAACTTAAGGTACGCTATTATAAAACTTTAGGTGAGTGGTTTGTGTTTTTAAGGTGCTTTGTTTGTGTGCTTAAGGTGCGTCATTTAATGTTTAAGGTTAGGTACGACGTCAATTCTACACTTAAGGTGCGTTCTTTTGTGTTAACCGCACTTCCGCATGGAAAGTCATTTTCGCACCTGATCTGGTCCCTATATATACACAAATTATCCGTGCAACCGTGTGCACCATGCATGATGCACACGGTTGCAAAAACGGCGTCGTTTTGATTAAAAACGACGCGTTCGACTTTAAAAAAAATTCATTTTCGATTGCCGTTAACGACGTTATGTTGTGCTATATATCTATAATTAATGAACTATATATCTAAAATTAGTGAATTATATATCCACACCGAAAATGGTGAAAATCCCGTCGATTGGAGTTTTTTTTTTTTTTTTAAAGAAAAATTGATTGGTGGAGTTAAACGGTGCCACTAACAACACCGTTACTCCACCATGGTGCACACGATTGCACATCATAACGATTGCTATATATATATATATATATATATATATATATATATATATATATATATATATATATATATATATATATATATATATATATATATATATATATCCGTTTCTCGTCGTTCCGCACCCTTCCGCAAAAAGCAACTCTGTTATTCAGTTTCATTTTGTATACACTGCAGTGTCAGTTCAACACAACTACAGTTTCATTTCGATATAACTACAGTTTCATTCGATACTTATAGACTCAAATATGTGAAAATATTATTTTATTTTATTTTATATACACTATAGTTTTATTAAAACACAACTACATGATCATTTTGATATAATTACAGCTTCATTGTACAATATAGACTCAAATATGTGAAATGTTATTTAGTTTCATTTTATATACACTGCAGTTTCATTTCACCACAACTACATTATTATTTTGATATAACTACAATTTTCATTTGACAATATAAAAGTAGTACGTGAGGCAGTATCGATTTAGATATACTGTAGTATCAGTTGGTAATTAACATACAAAAAAAGCGCGCTCCATTAACACTAACGGCGCGCCGTTTCTTTACTTAAAAAAACTGCGCCGTTTTAACGGCGGTACATGAGCACCACGGTCCACGATATAATGACTATACCTTTTATGGCACCAAATCCGTGTTTATCTACCTTTTATGGGAGAGAACCACATTTTTTTTTTCGATTTTTTCTGAGAATATAGAATTACAGCTACATGTTGATAGAACTTGTATATATGGTAGTGGTTCTAGACTTCTAGATAGTAATCACACCAAATGAAGCCTCATGGTTGCGACAATGGAATCAGAAAGGCAGGTAATCACAATTATAGCAATGGAGTTGAAGAAGAAACAATCACGTCGTGTGGAAGCCAAATGTCAATTTTTAGCTTTTATATTTTAAAAATAGTATTTTCTATGCCCAACGTGCAAAAACATATGTCAAATATTTATATCTTTTAAAATAATTAATAAATTCATACTAATTAAAATCTATATGAAATCAATTTTTTTTATAATAATCCAATATATAATGTCTACAAATATTATTATCATTAAAGAATATATAAGAAAATATATTGTGGATGTATATGCATGGTAACAATAATGAAAAAAATAACGGAAGTTATAACAGTAGGGGTATTTTTGTCCAAAAAATTATATAATACAACTCTAAAAGGATAATGTACAAAACGATTAACATTATAAACATGGACATAAATGAGAGATATAACTTTGAATGAGACTTATTATGTTTTTAGAAGAAAAAAAATAAGGCATTCTCTTCCTTATTTCCTTGTAAAACAAGAGGTTGATCCTTATATTTCTCTTTTACAATTCTTCTCTTTATGTACAAAAAATTCAAAAATAAAAATTACAAGCTCAAGGCTCTTGATGCAACCTCACAGTCTCCATCCATGTCTCCCTTTAGCGCTTCTTCATTCTTTTCCTGAAAAAAGAAAAAGAATTCACACCCTTTAGCACAAGCCCTCTTGAGGGCATAAACTGATCTCCTATTGTTCTCAGATATCAGTCAATTGAGCTTAGGGGTTAACTAAATTAGTATAGGAAAAAGCATGCATACTGCTTTATCGGTTGATGTCATTGCAGAAGAAAGTCTCTCCGACCCCCCAGCATTTCCTTGAAGAATTTTTGCTCCACACCCAGGAGTGTCAAGTGATCCCACAGCCTCTTCATCAACCAAGACCATATCAACACCATCATTTCCTGGCCTGGCATCTGGAACCTGCATACAAGATCAAGTGTTTCATGTTTAATAATGTATTACAAATTACAATCAGTCAGTTTCAAGGTTTTTCATGTCAATGAGAAAGAGTTTCAATCCAAGTGATATGCAACTTGAATGCCGATAAAATTGAAGCTCAATGGAGGTAAGGACATCAGGTATCTGAAAAGGTATATTGACTTCTCCAAAATAAGGTTCAATGAAATTAGGAAGCCCATATCATACCTCAAACATGGCTTCAGTCAGAATACTTTCTAAGATAGATCTTAAACCACGTGCACCTGTGCTTTTTGCTATCGCTTTCTTCGCAATCATTTTCAATGCATTATCAGTAAAATGAAGCTTGACCTGTAACATAGAATCAAAGTCGTTTCATGAAAACATTTCTTTTCTGTATTCCACCCAAGTGTAAACGTATAGTTACTGAAATACAATATGGTCTTTGTATCTGCAGCAAAACCTTACATTATTCAAAGCAAACATTCTCTTGTACTGTTTGCAAAGAGCATTTTTGGGCTTCATAAGAACCTGCAAGAAAGAATATATTAATAATCCATCTTAAAGAAAAAAGGCAAAAGAAAACAAATATATTTGATTATGATCAGCTTTCTTCTGTTTTTAACCCCTTCTCTGCTCCAGAAGTTCCTGATACAGATGATAAGGCACAAAAACAAAGTGAATTCACATAGATTTGTCTGTTTCTAGAACAATTTCCCATAAATGTTAGGCAAATTCTCCTGTGAGACCATCACACCGGTCTCAATCTGTGTGGGTCAGGTCAGGATAATTTGGGTCTTATGCCATATGGGCTTAGTAATATTATTTCCTGCAAACTGTCTATTACAGTTTTGCTATAAAGTATTATTATATATATTATATATATAAGTCTTAAAATATTGATTTTATTTGCAATTCCGCTAGGTACTATGTTGGCACAAATTAAGAGCTTGATACTTGATTCAAGCTAATCACAATTAACAAGGATAGTTCAACTACTGGTGAGCAATAAAAGGGTGGCATCAAGCTTGTGCTACAAAAGACTTTACGCAAACAAATTTGCATAGAGCTTAAAAACTTCATAAGCTATTCTAAACCTGTATTATATTTTTACATATACCAAAAGAAAAGAAATCTCTGCAAGTTTATTTTAGCCTATGCTATGATCCCTTTACAACAATGTTAGCTTCTTTCCAACTTATCCACAACAACACAAGATTGAACCATTTCTCCAAGAGAATTTAATAAGGCCCTGCTTATCCACAAAAACACAGCTCGAGCTAACCTGTTGATAATATAACTCACCCTTTATTCAAATATAGTCAGGTCAGCTATGCCATCCACTTTTCAAACCCACTAGCATGCATGTCTTAGCATTGTCACCTATCTCCCATAACTATCATTACTCCTTATAAGGAGGGAATCAATAGACCTACATTGAATACACCAAATCATCTTTAATTAATTCAGTCATTTTCTTCAATTTGTGCAACTTGCATCTTACTTTGAATTTTTCATTTCAAACATGTAACCTGTTAAGCTTCATATTCCAAATTACTATTCTTCAAATTGGCTTATCCAGAGCTCTATAGGGACACATCAGAATGTAGGGCTGAAGTTCTCTTATATGGCCTTTTATTTTGGGAGTCTAAAAAAAACTCTCATTAAAAGCTAATAATCATAACAAACAAATAGGGAGGAAAAACTCAAAACATAGAACAAACCTGAACAAGTTGGTTTTCATCTAGAGCAGATAAACTAACAAAAATTGGAAATCGTCCAACAAACTCAGGAATGAGGCCATATGCAGTGAGATCATTACTTTCTACCTGGAAATTCAAGAACCACAATAAGGAAAATCCCCCATGCATCTCAATTTAACAAGCTTTGATTGTGAAAGATATTAGGTATCAAGAGAAATCTCCTCACAGATTCCAACAATGACGATGCCACTACAGCATTTGTAAGGGCACTAAGGCTCATATTTGTACGAACTGGAGCTCCAAACCCAATTGAAGAGTCTTGTCGCCTGGGACAAAAATAATAATCAGGTCAACCATTCATGTAGAGATATATTTGTGCATTTAACACATTAGTATATATACCTGGTCAAGTAAAATACTTTTAAAAAATGGTACTACCTCTCTGAAATTGTCTTTTCCAGTCCAATAAAAGCTCCACCACAAATAAAAAGGATATTTTTTGTATCTATCTGTCAAAACAGTCATTAAAAATCAATAGGTTTCAAGGAAAAACTGCAGAGAATTCAATAACAGAACAGTGTCATTAGTGTGTGATTTTGGTATCATCAAACTACAAAATTGAAGATGGCTGTCAAAATATCCATAATACTGAAGATATGAGGTTCCCCAATCAAGAAGCACAAACCACTGATGCTATGGGCCTTTAGAAATGAATTTTCTGTTCTGTTAAAATTTTACTTGTGCTTGGGTTGGATTTGGAGACAAGTTAGTATAAATATGTTATATGTACTTCCACATTTCAGAATGAAGTACTTTTCATGGACCCAATCCAGATGCAATCTATATGTCGAAAATTGTACCAGTGCAGCCATGAGGACAAAAAAGGAACTCGAGTCCATTTTATCTTTTCAACATTACGTAAGTTGTACATTAATATTTTCCTTTCACGTTTCTATTTACCCACATCATGGACAGAATAACATCCCACTGGGATAAAATTCAAATAAATCAAGTGCGTGCAGGTATCCAAAGAGCTGAAAGTGAGAACTAGACTAGGCATTATGAGAGCCATGGCATCACATAATTGTCATTCACAAGCAATTTCAGAAGTAAAGGGAAGTAAGAGGAGATGGGTCTAGATGCAACACCTGAATACTGTCACCACGAGAATGTTTCCGTGCTCTATTATCAGGTACATTTACAACCTGAGACAACATAATGTATGTAAAACAATCAACAAGGAAATTAATTAGAAATAAATAACCAGGCTAAACAAGCAGGCAGTTTGTACTTTGTAGGACACTTCATACCTTAACAAGATGAGTTTAAAAAATTAAAAGGAAGTGCAGCCTGGAAACTAGAGCAATGCTTCCTTAGAATTTTTAAAGACTACAGGATACTCAAAATGAACAGAGAAGACAAATTCGCTGAACTTACAGTTCCTTCCAGCATTTTAAGCAGACCCTGTTGAACACCCTCCCCACTTACATCTCTGCCGATGTTTAAGCTCTCAGCCTATACAGATCATATGAAACGATATTTATTTATGATAGCATATAACTCAAGTCATAAACACTTAAAGTGAAGTATTAAACAATAGATTGGGGCCCTCAATCTTATTGTGGGAGGTATATAGTAATATTCTGCAACCTTCTTAGTTATCTTATCAACTTCATCAATATACACAATTCCATGCTCAGCTGCTTCTACATCAAAGTCTGCAGCCTAGGAGAAAACAATAACAGCAAGAAGATTATCTAGGAATGCACAAACAAAAATAGCAAAATGTTGCAAACATCACAAATGAAAAGCCATATATCTTTTTGGGGGAAAAAAAAAAAGGACCCTTGGGTACAAATCACAAACCTAATTGAACAGAATATGAAATTCATTTGATAAAGTATATCAACAACACATGCAAAAAAGTCAAATAATTTCACAAGCTGCAAATAGAGTGTACATGAAAGAGTACCATTAAATGAAATCCAATGCAGACCATAAATATATTTTCTTATAAAACAAACCAACAAACAATGAAACAAAACAGAAAAAGCCAGCAGTAACAACTTTATTTGGTAAATTTCATTTGAATAAGCTTTTTACAACTTTACCAACAAACAGAATTGTCAAGAAAACTGAAGAAAAATTAGAACATCTCTTAGGTGTGCTAAGGTCATTTCTTGATCAAATGCAATTTTAACTGAACTATGGTGAACACTATGAATTATGAAATACAACCTAGTACAATTTCTTCACTCAAAATAAAATCTTTATCATTAAATTTCATCTCAACAATGTCAAACACCTTTTATTTTCATATTTCACCAGTCACAGACATTTCAACATATCATGATATTTCAAAAGAACAAAAATATAACCCAAAAAAAACATGAAAATTTGTAATATGAATTTCTTAGCTTTGATGAAAAGAAATGAAAAAAATAAACTATACATACCATGAGTAATTTAAACAATATTGATTCCACATCCTCTCCAACATAACCTGCCTAGAGTTGAAGAGAAGTTCGGCTTAGCAGTATTAAAAGATCAATGAAAATTGCATGTCAATCTCTGTTGACATTGATGTAGGATTCTTGAAACTGAAGAAAACAAAAGCATTTATGCATCATCTTAAAATTCAAAATAAGAGCAGAATGCAACATTAGAAGCCATATCATTACATATCACACTCCAACAAATTGAATGCTTCATAACAAATAGCTATAAAAAGGTGAAGCTACAGCAAACCTGCCTGTGTCAACGTTGTTGCATCTGCAATGACAAAAGGAACATTTACGAGACGAGCTAGTGTCTTTGCAAGTAACGTCTTGCCTGTCCTTTCATTGATGAAAATTATACAAAGTTAAAATTCCAAGATATATATTATGAACAACTCTGTATTTCTTACTGAAACATGGATTCATGGAAGAAACCATACTAGAACTACAGGAGAAACCCAGGTTGAGAATTAGATACAGATACTGGAGCTTAAATTAGAGAGATACTCAGTTTAAAAACATTAAGTCTTATACCCGAGCCAGTTGGACCCATCAATAACACGTTGCTCTTATCCAACTCAACAAAATCACTTTCAAAGTTTCCTTGTTCATCTACAGTTTTGCCTGATTCTCCACCTGCCCTGGTATTTATGGTATAGTAATGTACTAATGTATTAGTAGTATCCTGGAAATCAATCCACCATTTTAAGGTAAATAGCTAATGATAAGTGATGAAAGGTATGTGAGCAATCTATTATCATGTGTAAGAGAAATCACATTTCAATTCAAGGAACCAGGTTGTCCTGGGAATAACAATGTGGTGTATTATCTGCTATGTAGGAGTGGGAACATAACCAAGAGATGAACAAGGAAGCAGACTAGGATTCAAAAAATCAAGTACTCATTAAAAAGACAAATAGAGTGTATTAAAAGAATTACAATTTGAAGTACATCAAAGCAGAATCCTAATCCCTTTGGACTTCATTATTACAAACATACAGATTACTTTTAAACACACAAATTAGGAGGACATTGTTGAGTGACAAGAAACTTTCTATCATGGATGCAGAAGACTAGTTTTAAATGCTATTTCCAGTCTAATTAAGCTTTCACGTTTAAAAATCTTAAGGAATGTATCCACAAAGTGTCTCCCATAGGAAAAGAGAACATCCAACTCACATTTGGGTTGAGGAGGCATCATATATTCTTTTGTAGTGATTGTAAACTGCCACAGAGAGCACCTGCAAATTGCTTACTAAGCTATAAGATCATGTCTAACTATTGAAAAGTCAACCAAAGGTATATTTCTTTGTGAGTGGGATAAATTCATTGCATTCAAGAATCAAGATCAAGATTAGATAATCTCTGCACCTAATCAATAATAAGCAAATCATTACAAGATTATATCACCAATATATCCTCACCTTTTTGGCTCTCTCTTGCCCAACTACAAACTCATCAAGCCCTTTACATATCTCTTTCGGAGTTGGCAACTTCTTCACCACATTTAACCCAGTCCACTCACCGGCAGACCCCTCCATACTCTCCTCCACCTCAGTCTCACTACTACTGCTACTACTACAACTATCACTAGTACTGCTACTTTCCCCAACATCACTGCTACTATTATTACCACTGTAAGTCCTCAACTTCTCCCAAATCTTTCCCGCAGCTTTTCCATTCTCGCTGCCAGCGGCCGTGTTACCGTTATTTTCCCTCTCCCCTACCCCACCCTTAACCTGCCCAATCTCAATGAAATTCCCCTGCAAGGGCTCCAACTTGGAAGGCCGGAAATAGAACGCAGTGCGGCAATGGGGGCACAAATTAACCGCCTGATAAATTCCGGTCTCGCCGGCGGTGATCGATAAAGGTCGATTGGAGAAGAGTACGGTCATGGGCTTAGAGCAGCGCGGGCAGTTCACCTCCGCCTTCAAATGGTCGTAGTTGTCGGAACTCCCTTCCCATTTGCACCTCCGCTGAAACCCTAACCCTAACCCTATCACCCGAATCGTAGTGGGCGGAGGAGGGAGATGCTGGCGGCTAGGGGTTGAGAAGAAGGGGAGTTTCAGAGGAGGTGTGAGGGAAGAGGAGTTGGAGGGGAATTTGGAAGAAGTGAAGGAGAGAAAGGTAATTTTAAAAGTGAAATGGTGGCGGAGCTTTGTTTTGTTGTACCTAAAAATTGCAGACATTTTTCTGTGTTCGTCTTCTTCTCTTCGATTCTGGCTTGCAGGCTGCAGCTATCGAGCTGAAGAGCAAGAAGGGGGGAACTGGGAAGGGTTATAATTGGAATTTCAATGTGAGACCCGACGCATTTAGCATGAACCCAAGATTTGACGGGCCGAAAGCTGTGGTTGATCCTTTGGGAATCTAGTCATTTCAAGGAGCGTTATGTCCTGGACCGTGTCTACCATTTACACGGTGGTGGATACGTTGTACATTCATAATTTATATATTATAGATTCATAATTTCTATATTACATATTCATAATTTCTGTACTCTAGATTCATAATTTCTATATTGCACATTCATAATTTCTGTATTGTAGATTCATAATTTTTATACTGCATATTCATAATTTATGTACTGTAGATTCATAATTTCTATAGTGTAGATTCATAATTTCAAAATTGTATGGTTATCAAATTATGAACACATAGTTTTCAAATTATGAATCTACAGTACAGAAATTATGGATGTGTAGTATAGAAATTATGAATCTACATTATAAATTTTATGAATTTACAATTTAGAAATTATGAATCTACAGTATATAAATTATGAATTACAGTGTAAAAATTATGAATGTACAGCGTATCTACCATACACATGGTGAACACGGGTCCATAGCATAATTTGCCTCATTTCAAGCAAAATTAAAAAATAAAAAATAAAACAAAATAAATAAATAAATAACTTAATAGCATTTCTACTTTCACTGTTCATTTATAATTTTTTTTTAAACAATCAAATACTTTCATTAATTCAAATCAACATAAATCGTTAACAATAAAATACGGAGGGGATGACACCCACTCCTAACGCACAGACATAAAACAAGCCTCCCTAGCTAGGTTGTGGGCTACACTATTTGCAGTATGACAAACATGATAGATAACAACGTCATTAGATGATCGAAGCAAATCTTTAACACCAAAGAGAACAAGATCACAAGAAGACACGCTTTGTTCTTGATTCAGGCTCTGAATGATTTGAAGCGCATCGCATTCAACACGTATATGATGAATTTGAAAACTTAAAAAATGACTTTTGACAAAATAAATAAATACCTTAATGTTCATTTATAATCCATTTGAAAACTTAAAATATCACGCAAGAAAAGGAAGAGGGAATAGACAGAGAAATTATTATCATCATCAATCTCTGTACAGCATTACAATGGTATATATAATCTCTATCATAATAGCCTTTAGGACTCTTACAGCATTAGGAATCCTACAGTATAGCCTTTAGGACTCTTACAGCATTAGGAATCCTACAGTATTAAGAATCATATCATCAATATAAAGTCGGAATAATGTCCACATAAGGTTTTACAATACTCCCCGTTGGACATGATTTTGCCATTGTCATGCCTCGTAAAAACTTGCTAGGAAAATCCTGTGGGAAAAACCTAGACAAAAGGAGTACATATATATTCATGCCTCGTTAAAAACTTCACTAGGAAAACCACGTGGGAAAAATCTAGTTGAAGAAAAGAGTACATGATATTTGTAAGAACATATATTGTACTGATTGCCTCATTAAAAATCTTAACTTAAGAAAACCATGTGGAAAAAAGAATACAACCATAAGCCTTGAAGGCATAATCGGAATAATCTTCAAGATTTTGGGATTTGTCTACTTAACCAATTATTTTGCAACTTTTCCTCATTTACATTACTATATCATATTCATGCCTTGTTAAAAACCTCACTAGAAAAACTCAGTGGAGAAAAATTAGTTGAGGAAAAGAGTGCATGATGTATGTGTATTATTGTTTTAGATTAGCTGCCTCATTAAAAACCTTAGATTTAAAGAAAAACTCTGTGGGGAAAAACTTAACTAAGGAAAAAGAGTACAGCTGTTAGTCGTCAAGACCCACTCTTCAGAATTGTAAAATGATACTCCCCCTCAAGAAGACAATCTTCAAATCCACAAATAAAATATATATCCAAAATTGTAGAAATGGATTAGTCAAATCTTCTGGATTGTCACTAGAGTGAATATCTTGCACAATAATTTTGTGACTCTTTTAGAGCTCGTATTGGTTGAATTTTAACGCTATATATGCTTTGTCAAATATTCTTTAACATACTCATATATCATTTGTACAACTCAAGTGTTATTGTCCTCATTTGGAACATTTGGGGTAATTCATTGTTTAACAAGTTTAGAATTTTGGCATCACGGGGATCAAACATATATAATAGCCAATACCCAAACACCCTATCAAAACCATACATTTGTTTCTCATATAAATGTCAAACTCTTTTGTAACTCGGAATATATATTAAACACTATTCCAATATTTCATTGTAGAAGGAGCCCTAGATGTTGCTAGCAATTTTATCGCAAATATCATGTCTGTTGAGATTATGGAAGTTCTGGTTCTAAAAGGTGCTCCAACGACAAATGAAGTAAAGGACGGTTAAGGTATCCTTACTGAGTCTAAACGGTTCCTTATCTACTTCAAGAGATTATTAGGCAACCTATAGTTTGACAAAACCATGATACTTAACCATATAGACAGGTGAAAAATAGGCTAACTGGTGTATAAAATTCATTCAAAGAAAAACTCGATCTTCAAGTCAAGATAATACTTAGCTTTCACAAGCTTTTTATTTCAAAATCTCCGTCTTTAGATATGGGTTGACATCATCAAGCTCTTTATATATTTCATTGATGTTTACACCATCAATATTGACTGAGATAATAAATAATAAATAAGTTCATTATCAACTCTTTATCGAGCACATAATGGTACATATTATTCCTTCTTAATGAGGATAATAACTCCATTCGCAACTCTTTAATAATGACACATAAAATACATATTCCTTCTTTGAGAGGAAAATACTCAGCCAATTCTTAAGTATTTCAAGTCATATAAAGACCATAATATTTTAATGTTGCAATTTTCACTTTTTCTCATTTTGAGAACTTAAAATCATTCGGGGACTTCTGAAATTAATATTAGTTGCATATCTAAGTTTATTATTTTGCCAATAATATTATGTAGTGGGACTTAATGCCATTTACCGTGGGAGAGTTTCTTTGATTAGAATCAATCAAGGGTATCTGTGTGAACGCATAAGGCTACAAACTCGCTTCATATCATATCACCTCGTTATTCTTATTTCTCTTCCATGCACACACCTATTTGTAACTTTCGGGGTTAACACTCAACGGTGTGTTGTTATAAAGAGAATATATATTTTAGCGAGTCGAGTTATGCCTCAATTGCTCCTTTATACGTTAAATAGTCATGAAACTTCCGGTGCCTAACTCTGGATCCAGATTACCATATAACGGAGCAATTTGTAAAGGCAATTGTGTTGACGACAACTATAATACTTTCATAAATCTCTCCCATATTTATAATTGTTCATGGCAATATTTAAGTCAACCAGATTCTAGACATTTCCCAGAACTACTCAGATGGTTGTCCCGCATCCCTAGTATTATGTTTGTTTGGTGCACCTATGAATTGACTAGGGTTTCTCGTCATCTGGACGAGCGTGTCTCTAAGGCTAAATTATTCAAGCTTTTTCAAGAGTGACAATGTTTATTTACTAGATCTAGTATTATGATTCTTATCTCTTTTCACCGATAGATCTCCTATACTTATGGCGTCAAGGAGTATCAGTAGATTTATTTGGTCTAAGTTGGGGAAGGTACATGGGGCCTAGTCACTCTTTTATGATCAGTATGATCAATAGATGTATTTGGCAGATTATTTGCTAATATCTCAAATAGATCTTCTGAACTTCCAGTTCAGTTTAACTAGTACATGAATTTCTTAAACAAAGAAGATCTCTCCATTCAATGGAACTTCTCGGCATTTCATTAAATTTGAGTTCATCTCCCCCTAATGCCGTGAAATGATCTTCATGATTTATGCAGTCAACGTATCTATTGATCTCCTATAATGGGCTCTAGGTATTCAAACAACAGACGGAAGTTTATAGCCCACAGAGATATGCTGAGGTGGTGATAAAGTAAAATGGACTACATACTAAGACTAGAAACGCAGATCGGGAAAGAATAAATTGCACTTTTGGTCCTGTGACTATTAGGGTACTGATAATTTGAGTACGTGACTTTTAAAACTCTCAATTTAGACCTTTAACTATGCAATTATTAACAGATTTGGTCCTACCGGCCAAATTGCCTGCCAATTTTGGCAGGAAAAACATAATTTGGCTTGAATTTATTTTTGATGAGGGCAAAACTGTCATTGCAAGTGAAATGAAATTTGTCTTTTCTCCATTTTTATGTCTGTACAAGACGAGACGAGAGAGGAGCATGAACGTTTAAGCACGCATACAATTTGTTGCTCAGATCAACCAATAATTTGTAAAAGAAATGGATCTTAATTTGATTGAACAGAAATCATATAACTAGCTCTTGGATTCTGCTTTTCTTCATGAGAGGCTGTATGCGCCCCCCCCCCCCCCCCCCCCCATTTGTGACAAATCTTGGAGGATGAGTTGGTAGCAATCCTCCACTTTCTCCTGCAACATATATAACAACAACAAATATTATTTCTGGGACGATTCAAGATTGTGAAGATCAGAAGGCACATATTAATAAGACCAAACCTGGTTGATTTTGAGGACACCCAGAAGTTGGTTTTGGTAGTGGTCGGCATTGCAAGGCGCAACTTGACGAATGGCGTGAAGCATGGTTGAAGCGGCCAATACAAAGGGCAAATAGCGTACCAATCTTGAATCTATAAACCCAAAATTAATACTTGCATTTGGATGTGGGCGGCGGCGGGCAATGAAAATGAAGAGCAAATTAAAAATTTAAAATCTACAAACCCAAAATTAATACTTGCATTTGGATGTGGGCAGCGGCGGGCAATGAAAATGAAGAGCAAAAATTACAAATTATATTACATACCAAGAATGAGAGAGATGGTTCTTCAATCCAAGTATTATATTACATACTGAAGAACTCCCAGTGAAGATGGTTCTTCAATCCAAGTCTCCTTATAATGTGATCAAGAAATGAGAGTGGGGTAAATGGGTTCATCCTCCATTTCAGCGTCGACAGCACCACAAGCTCCATTCTCTAGTCTTCGCTTCAAACA